AAAGAGCAGTTTCTATATAAATTGTTAGGGAAATTACGCATAGAGAAGATAAGATACTTGGGTTTCTGTAGGTCTTGTCAGGCTATCCTTCTTTAACTCCAATATTTCCAGTGTGGTAATACTGTTAGGGTAACAATAGGACTTACTTAACCATCTTTCCTCTTTTCCTTGTTCAGAGCCCTTTGAGGGCAATGGGAAGACCTCCCTTGTTTTCATTTTTATCCAAGGGTTTGATCTTTTTTGCATACTTGCTTTTGTAGACTGATTGCTACCAAGAGTTAAAAAAGTCCATAAAACAGAAGGTACCTGAACTGCTTCATGTCCTGTTCTGTAGCTACTGGGAACACTTTGTCTAGGACACATTCTCCAGTATCAATGGCTAGCCAAGAGTTACAGAGGAAGTACCATTTTTGATCCCATGCCAGATCATGGACTAATACTCGATTCACGTACCTGTAGGAAAAACATACAGGGCACATTCACATGTAAGTAAGCAGTATAAAACTCAGGACTCAACAGGACTATGGAGGACAAATTCTGGCCTCTGGCTTCTTAGGTTGTGTCTAAACTGTAAGGCATAGAACACATCCCATCCTGTACTGGACACAGGATATGGGAAGCACTCCTGATCCTGCAGTTTAGATTATGATTTGATCTATTCATCTACCAAAATGAGAAACTAACCCTTCCTTTCTAGAACGGTAGAAAGGGTGGTTTTCAAGTGCTACAAAAGGAAATCTGTTATCATTATAAAAAATATTTGTGGATCTTTACTTTCCAGGATCTCCAAATCTCCACTTACCAAGATGGACTGTCCCCTGAATTATCATGCCACAATCTAATACTCTGCAGTTCTCCAAGAGGGAAGAAAGTACAGAGTAGGAAAACATCCACTCCTCCACGTTCAAAGACTGGTGTATCAGGATCGGTTAGGTGGTGTGGCTCACTCTCTCCTTCAAGTCCATAGAGGGTGAGAGTCACCTGAAGAATAAGATGGCAAAATGAAGACTTGCAAATCTCGATCCTATGTATGATTATTCCTCTGTCATACTCTTCCTGCTTTCATCAAATCTAAGGACTTTCTGGTTTAGATGTTGCATTTGAGCTGTGCTGTTTAATAGCCTCAGGTGCTCCATTAATCATCCAGTTCTCTAAATGAGTGCATGAGCTGTCTTACTGCACGGTGCCATTGATACCTTGGAGGTTGTGGCTGCCCCACGGCGGTGTCCTGTGAAAACTGTCACAAGATAACGATACTGAGCAAAGGGGTCGTTGTCTTCCAGTACTGTGATTTTCACCTGCAAAGTGACAAAAACAAGCAGTGTGTTAGCTGTTCTGTAAGTACGGATTCCTTAAAGCTGTGGGTAGGAATTTGTCATCTTGTGAACAATGTGTATGCTTACCAGTAAGCAGAGAGTTACAGGGAAAGGTGTAGGGTTGAAGACTTCCTATTAAAACAGACTAGGCAAAGCAGGAATTGGCCTAAATACATTCAGTCTTTATTAGCTGAAGACTTACTTTGGCTTCATCCTGGATGTCTTTCCTTCGAGCCCAAATAACTACAAGCACATATATCAGGAAGATGCATCCTACAGTTGTCACCACCACAGGGTTGTCCACAAATGTGCCAAATAGCTGTGCAGTTTTGCTAACATCTATGGCATTTGGTGTGACAAAGAAGGAGCTCCCAAAGAAGGTCAGATGGTTGCAGAGGCACTGTGTTCTTCCACGATTTGTTTTTGGTCCTACCTGAAAACCAGAAAAATTTCCTAATAAAACATTTGTCTTCAACATATTAGGTAACTTACCAAGCAAATGAAAAGACAGTGCTGAGACTGGAAATTAGTGTGGAGAGCTGCTATATAGAAAATTGTTCAAATTCCAATAAGGAATATTAATTCTAATGTCTAGCCAGAAACAGGCATTATGATATAATACAGCCTTGTCAGAATGCTTCCATTTCTTCTTATATAGAAGCTCATCCCAAGAAATTGAAATGGAAATGTCATTTGAAGCTTAGTCCAATGTGACTAAACTTGAGTATATTAGAAAAATCTCAGAATTATCTTGTTTTATGGTGTAAGTTCAATGCTACCATTTTACTACAAGATGGTGGTTATAAGGGCTGGCTTTGAAGTATATAATATAAACATTGTCTTCTTTCTCTCTACTTACATGACATCCATAGGTGTTCCAGTTCCCCTGGTGCTCATCCCAAAATACACAGCGGGATGCAAAGCAAGTGACAGCGATAGTTACTCTGTCATAGGCTGTGAAATTCATTCCCATATCTTGTAAAACCATGAAATAGTAAGTTCCTTCTCCAAAACTGAATTCTTCTGGGCTGAGAACCCAGGTGTTTGTCTCACCTTGAACATAAATATTTTAGTTTCAATGTACATATAGAAATGCCAATTCAGAAGTATGCATCTGTATTGCATGTAATCAAATACACAAACTGAACAAACAGGTATGAAATCATCCTTAGCAAGTCATTGTTCAAAGCATCCCACTCTTTGCTCCTGTTAGTGAACACTGTATACCAAAGATTGGATCCCTGAAGCATGACAAATTGAAATTCCTTTGAGAGTTTTCTTTCCAGTTACACATCTGAACTCCTGGTCAAGGCTCATTCTGCAAATATGCGTGTGCTGTAAAGTTGTGGATGAGCACTCGCCATGCTGAGTGCCCTTAACTTGCACTGGGTGGTGAAAGTCTTTTGGTTACATAAGCCCAGAATGCACAGGTTCATGGGTCACTAGTGAGTTGTCTTACCTCCTGTAGTTTTCTTACAGAACAGATGATTTTTCATATCATAGGTAGTTTCATTTGGACGATAACCGTACCCTAAGTAGAGTATCAGTGGAGTGTCATGTTCAGATTCCAGGTGGATCACTATAGATGTGTTTTCTGAGGTGACATTGACCTGGAAAGTGCTGAAATTGCCCAGATTCAGCAGAATCTTATCTTCCTGAGTTGATGAAAGCCTGGGTAACATTATCTGGTTTTAAACAGAAAGAAATAGCTTTAAAATAAAGCAAAGCATCTTGCTTCTATTATCTATAAGCACAATATAGCCACATGCTAGATAATCTTTTCTCATAGCATAGAGAAAGCATGGCCAGCAAAAATACTGGCTTCAAAGTAATTTTCTTGATACTGTCAGCTAGCCTCCAAAAAGCTCATTTGAGACCTCTGTGAACTCCTCACAAAGTCTGTGATCCTTGGTGCATTTCTGAACACAGAGCAGAGATTATAACTGAAGCACTGGCTACATGAGGTGCCTATATGAACAATTTAGATGTCAGCTTATGCATCAGCTGGAGGCCCGAACAGTAGTAATGCAAACATACAGTCGTTGGATGATGAAATCAGACATGACACTGTGTTTCAGGATGATTGCAACCTGGAGTATTTTTCCACAACAATTAGCATTCTCACATCCATTTAAACAAAAAATAAGACACCTCTTTTTAAAGAAAAGACAGAAATATTTCTTATTTCATTCTTCATGTGACACAAATTGCCCTATCACAAATGCAGATACCACAATCTTGTTGCTTATCAACATCAGCTCCAAGGCAGGTTACCACATCTCCCACATCCAGGAGGAAGTGGCCCACCTTTTGTAGGAAGGGCCTAAACCTTAATTAATTACATAATGACAAATTCATACCAGCTGGATGCATATCCATACGATCTCATTATATAATGTAATGAACACTACCACCATTTGCAGTCACCTCAGAAGATGATAACACAAGTGACAGTTTGTTAACAAAGAAAGAAAAAATGGGAAAAGATGAAGAGGGATAGAAAATAGTGGGTTTACCTCAATGTTTTCTTTGAGATTGCTGACTGGAATGATCGAGCCATCCAGACCAGTAAGACTGAGACCTCCCACTGTTCCACTGATATCAAAACTGGTGTCACTGGAGAAAAAGGGATTCACGGCAAAGCTCACCATCTATTAGCAAGACAATATCAATCAGTTTTGAGCTATTGTCAATATTTCATTCTATTCACACTCTAAATAGTGAAAGCTTGAGGTCAGACTCAAACGGTACTTGACTTAAAAGACGCCTGCATCCAGATTTAAATAAGAAGCTGCCTTGTCTCTAAGGTAGCTCAAACACAAACCTTGAAAGTTATCTCGATTCTGAATGTGATATGTGTACAGCAATGCTTGTTGTTTCTATTCATTGTAACCCTTTTGCCTTTTAGGCACCAGATATCAAAACGCAACTGCATAAGCCTCTTTCAAAGTAACTCCATCAAAGCTAGGCTGTGGCACTGCTCTTGGAATTAGGAACAGAAGCCTGTTTCTGCTATGATAGCAATGCACAGAAGAGTATGTCGGAATTGTCAGTCCAAGGAGAGGATTCAGGAGCCCCTCTTAACGCTCAGGCAAGACAATGGACATGTTGCCACTGGTTTCAGTGGGCTCTGGGCATTTTGTAGCAGAACTGGAAAAGACACAGTGAAAAATATGGTATATTTTGCAGGTATTACAAGGGTTTTCTGAAAGTGTCAAATCAACCAGAGGCTTTTAGAAAATGTGTTATAGAAATATGACAATAATATGCAATCTATTGTTCTGAGGGAAAAAACACCATATCCTGGTTCAGATGAGGGATGTGTTATCATCAGGACATTCACAGGCCTTTTATGTCCTGCAGGATCTGGGTGCCTCAAACTTGTTTATTTCTAGCTGAGATGAAACAGGTCTGCTGCAGCTTATTTTTAATGGTGATATGGACTCTGAGCTGTTGCATCTTCCTCAGAGCATTAGATATAAACAAACAGCAAATAAATTTATAGGTATTGTTTCATTCCATTGCCTTCTCTAGCCATGCAGGTATGAAACAGGAATGTATGTGAGGGGCTGATGGGATGGGAAATTTAAGCTTTCAGTCCTCCTTAGCTTACTTGTTTTCTTGGCGTGACAGGAGGGATGACTTGTGTGCTTGTCTATTCATTGTAAAAGGAGAAAAGATTCCAAAACTGCTAGACCAAGAGTGTAAGTTGTATATCAGATTGAGTCAGATAAAAGCTGTTTACTTGCCCTTATGTCCACTGTCTCATCGTCAGCTCCTGAAACACTGAGAGAGGAAGCAGGTGGGAGAGTAAAGCTGGCAGAGCTGGAATTGGAGATATTAATGGATGTGCCATCCATGTTTTCTGTTTGTAATCTGTCCAGTTAGGGTTGGACACAGGTGAAACAGAATAAAAGAGAAACAGAAAAAACAAACAAACAGAAAAAAACATCAATAGCATAGACTTCATACCTAGAGGAAAAGCTTTCTCACTTAACATGTATAACTATTTGTAACTCTGACAGTAAATATTTTGTACATTATCTATCCCTGACATAGTACTCCACATGACATTACCACAGAATCATCAAAAAAGAGGTGGAATTGATGTATCTGGGTAGGAAGTTGTATCCAACTAGGTGTACTTATTTAAAAGGCATATCTGGTCTCTGTGTGAACATGCTCCTGATTTGAATGCATAGTTAAATGTGGATGAAAACCAGGCTCTCAGGGAAGAATTTAGGGATAATTATAGAGAATGGAGAATGCTCGTCAGGCTCCTCATGGTTATATTTGCTTCTGCCAAGCTGATTACAATTCTATATAACATGTCAATATTGGCAACTCGGACAATATAAAAAAACTCTAAACTGGCATGGCATGAGCTTTCCACATAATTTCAAAGGTAAGCAGCTACTGTCTCGTTCAGGAAATAGTAAATTCTCCATTAGTCAAAGAAGACAAAGCATGAGAGTTTCTGAGATGGCTTTATTGAAGCTAATTGGAGTCCATGTTGTTCTTACTATCAGTTAGTAATGACAGCCTCATTGCACTGCTGAAGTTGTTGTTATACAATATTTAGTAGGGTTGTTTCATTTAAGGACAAGTAATGAGTATTGCGGGCAAAATTGATTAATTATCTGGATGCTAGGTGGGACAAGCTGTTACTGTTACCTGTGTATATACATTGTGGCAGAAGGAGTGGTAAGGACTGTTGGTTCCCCATCTGGTTCTTTCCCAAACAGAAGGGCACTCTGTAGATTTTCAACTGTGTTCAGGAGCTGGTGTGACACTGAACTCTGGAAAAGGGTTAGAGGAGGAAACTTCCAATGAAGCTCCTCATAACCATCAAGATGCACATTATTTGCCTTTACTTCCTTTTAGGAACAATACTAATTTTCAGTGTCTTATAAAGCTGGCAAATTTCGTGATGTGCTGCTTAATCTCAGAGAAAGTTATTCTAATCTTAGAATCATAGAATGGTTTGTGTTGGAAGGGATCTTAAAAATCATGTAGTTCCAACCCCCCTGCCATGGGCAGGGACACCTTCTCCTAGATCAGGTTGCTCAAAGCCTCATCCAGTCTGGCCTTGAACACTTCCAGGGATGGGGCATCCACAACTTCTCTGGGCAACCTGGTCCAGTGCCTCACCATCCTCTTTGTAAAAAAATTTCTTATATCTAATCTAAATCCACTCTCTTTCATTTTAAAGCCATTACCCCTTGTCCTATCACTACACACCCTTGTAATCAGCAATTCCATTTCTGTAATTCTCATTAAAACATTGCAGACAGCAAATAAATATATCTTACAGCTTTTACTTTTATATCCCATTATTTGTAATTTCTACACATTGAAATTTGAGGAACAACACACATGACATCAATTTAATGCAATATATTCATGCACTTCTGTACATTAATGCCCTTTAGCTGCACACTTTAGTTACTTGCAAAAGCGAGACCTAGTTACATACTAATTGTGTGTTATTTGTGTGTTATCCTGGGGGGGGGTTGAACAGTTCATAACCTTTTTTCTTAGGTTAGATTTATTTCATGCCCTACTCCCTTGCAGTGATGAAAGATAAAGTATGTTCAGCCCAGGAGGCACACAAAGGCAACTGTGACAATTCACATCCAGATAGGAAAGGACAGGACAAAATAAACACATTGCATAATTCTGAATAGAAAATCAGAATGGGCTTTCCAAAAAAGTGTAAGCAGCAGCCAGAGCTGATTCCAGCTTTGAAGTAGTGGAGCCAATCATGAATATTGAATACCTTTGCCTTCCTTGAATTATGGGGCAAAGGGAGGGGATAGAATAAAATGTGAAAAAAAATGTCTGTGTGCTTGTCATCCATTAGAGGCTGCACACTGATGCTGTGTTCTCCAGTGCTTTGTCCCGTTCAGCTTTAAATGTAATGAATCTTAAGAGGCTTCTATCATCTTTGTTAGCAGACCATTCAGTCTAACAGGTCTAACTGGAGAGAAGTTTCCTTTGATATTCAAGTCCATCGTGGTGTCACAATGAGCCCTACCCAATGCCAATTTAAAAATACAAGAAGCAGCAGAACTCTTAAAAACCTTCCAAAGCAAGCAGGTGTTCACACACAGTCCACTACAAACTGGACCAAACCAAAATTACCTGTTCTGCCTCTGACACTGAAGTGTTCGTAGCTCTGATTTCTACAGAAGCTTTAAGGACGTTGCTCACTGCATTAAATAGATAGTTGGCTGCATCTTTTAGCTTCTGATCATCTCTGCTGTCTTCTGCGTTTACAGTGAGCAAGGAAGCACTGACATCTTTTAGAGTGTTGCTGGCTTCCACCTGCATGGGGAAGAAGGGGAAGAGTTTCTATGTGTTGGTACTACAAATGACAGAAGTAACCCTTGTGTCATTTACTGAGTATTGTGATATAAGAAATCTCATGGGACTATTTGTGGCTAGTGTTGGCTTTGCTATAATTATTTGTGCTGGGGTAATACCTCGAACGCCAATAAAGATGATGTACTAGATGATATACTAGCATGGAATACACACCTGAAAAATGCAGCCTGCTTCTACAGATTTAATCTGTAAAAAAGATCAATAACATGTGAAGGAAGCTTATCTGTCAAACACTGGGCAAGGTTACAGTTTAGATGTATAGTGATGTAGTAAATTAGGTTATACTTTTGGGTAATGTGTTCAAAAAATACCACTATATTGTCAAGTGCATATGTATTTCAATCTTAGTTTCCACAAACCCTATTGGATTACCAGTAAGTAATACCTCTAGCCTTGTGCTGTGCTAAGTGCCAAAGGAGAATGAGTTTTACAATTTTTATTTTCTGCCCAAATGGAGCTGGTGATTGCTTTGTGATTGTGAAAGCACTGGCCAGCTTTTAGCCCAGGGTGATGAGGGAGCCAAGTAAATTTGTTACAAGCTTGGACATACCCATTCCCACAGTCTGCAAACACTTAGCAGCCTTACTGTAGAGCGAGTGCTGAATTTGAGCTATGTTCTTGTCTTGCCAAAGTTAACCACATACTGCTGAAACGCTCCCAAGCCATTGTCTGGCTGCAACTGTGTAATACATTAGAAATCAGGACAGCTCTTTTTATTGGCAGCATATTTGGGAAACTTCCTCGGTGACAGTTTGTTCTGTCCTCCCATGTGCTCACTCCTTATGCATAAATAGCATAATGTACTAATAATGTCACGTTACCAGATAAGATTTAAGAAATACTTCTGTGAGGCTAATCTGAACATTTGTGCCTAGTTCCTCTGGGTGCTGTCATGTTCCTGCCTCACTGACAGCTTGCCTACGTGCATTTTGTGACAATGCATGGATCAGGGACCAATGGATCTGGGCAATTCTAGAAAAACCCTTCTGGGCAGTTTTTCTTCAGGATTCTGAAAGTGCTTTACAAGATAAAATATACATCCTAACATGCCTCTGACTAAAAGTTAAGGTTTCTGTCTTAAAGATGTGTTTTAAAATGTAACTGGCCAGATGGTCATAGCATGGAATGTAGTGTTTGCTGAGACAATATCTGAGAGTCCAAATTTGCTTGCTCTAAACAGCAAAATGCATTTCCTTCTGGTTGAAATACATGTGCTGGTACATTTGAAAACATGGGTAAGAACAGAGAACTGTAAGGCACTGGAACTCTTCCAAGATCAGTGGAGTGAAATCGAGTCTATACTGTTAGTGTGAGGCAAAATAATACGAATTGTTTCTTACCTGTGCTGAGACAGACAGCTCTTCACTCTTGTAAGTGATTTCTTTCAATACTTCTGACATCTTAAGAGCCGTCTGTACTGATGTTATGTTAACAGCAGAGAGAGTTGTCAGCATCAGCCCTCGGAGCTTGAGATGAAAAGGGATAATTAGGCAAAGGAATAAGATGCTAATTAGGACTGTGCAAGTAGTGCTATATACTGACAGCCAGACTTGGTATAAATTATGTGGTAGAGTGAGACTCCACAACAAGGATCATTTGAACTGATATTAGGTCTACTGACAAGATGCCACTTGCCTTAGTAACTGTATAATCACGAGTCGTATGTTACCTCCCAATACAGAGGATTTGTACACTTAACATCCATTAATAGCAAAGAGAGTTGCTTGTGAGAATTTGTTCTAATGTATGTGAATTACTGTATAAATGCCACTTCCAGAGAAAGCAGAGCCGTGTATGATTGATGTTACTCAAATAATGAATCATAATTGAAGGATACATTGCATTTCTCTAGATCTTTTCATCTGAGGCACTCAAAGCGCTGTACAAATATAAGCTTATAACTGAAACATAAGCTGATGGCTGAAATGAACAAACTAAAATTACCTGCCATCTAGTACTTTTTGGGACAATTAGGATATGTCTCCCACAGGAAAGGCTATTTTATTAATATTTAAATTGTTTATGGAAAATCATGTTGATTTTTAAGTTTTAAAACACTGTCCAAGTTAGTTTAAGGTAATTCTTTAACAATTGAGAACGAATTACTTTACAGATGGATGATAAACCGAATTATTTATGTGGGCAAATAGTAAAAAATAGCTGAAACGTGTCAAACACTGAAACTTGAGACCTCCATTGATTTCAGGTGGTGATATATGAGCTTTTTATTACTTAAGAACTGTCAAAGAATATGAAGGGTCCATTATATTGCATTGTACTGCAAGAAAACAAGTGTCTGGCTGACCTCTTTTCTTGTGTCCATCTGTAAAGATATGTTAAAGCTTTCCTCTTGAGTCTCCTGATTAAGGACTGATGTCACTGACTTGTACAGCTGGAAAAGACTCATGCTGTTGTTGCCATCTTTTAGGATGGTGTTTGCCTTCTCAGATACAATAGCCTGCAGGGTCAGGTTCCCATCGGTCATATCTGCATGTCCAACCTGATGAAGAAATCAGATATGCTCTTAACATTGCCAATGCTGTTATAGTTATCTTTGAACAGCTTCCACGATCATCTTGCTGACAGCCTAGCTAGAGTGGGACAGAAAATTTTGTGTTCCTAGTTTTTAATGTTTTATTTTTGGTGGCCTGATAAGGATCTCCTTACTAGGACACCGGGACAGAAGCAGTTTTCTGGGGCCAATATAGAGTTAACTCCAGACGCACTAAATACAGCTAATGCTGCCCGATGTGCAAATAGATCATCTTTTAAACTTCTATCCTAGAAAAAAGACAGTGGGAGATTCCTTTGACTACCTTAAGTCCACAGAGAATAGTCTCTATTAGATAGGAAGTGGTGATTATGGCACGTTCAGAAGGAAGTAATAAGTATAAAATGGGAAGAAGCTCCAAAAGTGAATCGCAGGTTAGGTATCGACTTGAGAGATCTTGAAATAAAGTGATTCTACTGTGTACCTTCACTGAAGCGTAAGTTTGAACTGTATCACCGTAGTTGTTGCTAACGGTAATTGTCATATGCAAAGCAAAATTATTTTCCTCTTCTCCAAGTGGAAGATAAACTGGGAAGAGTTCAGGATCCGGGCCACAATGAAGGAGGGAATCTGGAATAGGAAAGAGGGGGTCACCTATCAGACACCACACAGACACCTCCTGTTCTCCAAGAAGAGGGGACTGTGGGCTTGCTCTGTGCAGGCCCAACTGACTCTTCATGTGTCTCCCTAGGGAGCAGAAGCAGGTTGTGCCTTTGCTCCCGTTAGCAACAGTCACAGCGCTTGGTAGAACCATGGAGAAGCAGTTAACCAAGCAGTTCACCTCAGGACTTACTTGAGCTCAGGTAGAAGCAGTACGTGAGCTGCCTGTTATGACGGGATTGGCATGAATCCGCCAAGCAAGGAGCGCTGCAGGAGACTCTGAAAGTGGTGAGCACTGATCCCTGCTCGGGAGACACGGCACAACTGGGGATCTTGGGCGGAGGCACGGTGCTGACAAGGTATGTTTGCTCCCCGTAGCCACGCTGAGTCATTGCTGGGAGAGGAGGGAGAAGAACGTCAGCAAGAATTGTGCTCCAGCAGCGCTGATCTTCAGACATTAATCTTGCCTACTCTAGCAATGCTTTGTTCAGGCACCAGAAACATCAGGGTGGGCCTGCTCAAAAATGAAATCCCGCTACTGAATAAGCCATAAGAGGAAAAGATCTGTTAAAAACATGGTAGTGTTTGCATTATAAAGCAAAGCTGTATTATTTGATCGAGTATTTAGCATAACTTCACTTCCAGATGAACCTTAACAAAGTTGTTAACAGCTTGGAGTAAGATAACTGAGTTTTTCCTGCTGTGCAACAGCCCAGAACAAACTGAGCTCTTAACTGTTTTAAAGATTCCACATATGAAGTAACAGGTCTCAACTTGTGGTCTAATTTAACTTCATGTTTGTTAGTGAGGCTGTGTGTGTGTAACGTCAGTGTAATGCCGTGACAGCAGAGACTATCTCAAAGGAGTCTGGAAAACCTTGCTCGCCCCTACCTGTGACTTTTATCTGAAAAGCTTCTCCCTGTGTCTGCAAGAATGAGCTGTTCATTTTCAACACGGATGTGTTGCTTTGAAGCAAATTCAGAGAGTTTTGCCGGAAACCAGTCAGGCCACAGGCTAGAGGGAGGGGCATAGACTGGAAAACCAGAGAGAAAAGAAAACATGACAGTAGAAGCTCTTTACTGTGATTTCTATAGTGATTTATCAGGAGCAGGGTGGCAGTTTGGTGCCCTTCATTATAACCCCTCTCTAGCCAGGCACCTCCTGTCTCTGTCCTCACTATTATTTCCGAAGCATCCATTTGACAAAGTATCCTCTGAGGCCACATCCCTCTGGATGGATGTTTATTTTTGTGTGTGCAATATTTCTGACCAATCTGATGCTCTCACCTGGGTTTGGAACGTGTTATCTAAATACCAGTTATAATATATGGCCTGGTGGTCCTTCTGCCCAGAGACACTCAGAACAACTTCATCACTAGCATTCACTGGCTTGCAGTTTGCCTCACACCTGTAAGGAAGAAAGATGGTAGTTACAGGTAGTAACTGTATGAAATGTCATAGTCCTTGATGTTTATTGTTTTACCCTCATTTGATGAAAATCTACAAAAGCTCTGCAATATGAGACAGGTGACACGACTCGCAATTAGCAAAATACTTAATCTTCAAGCAAGAGATTTAGGAGCATTCATCTCCATTTTCAACATGACTGAGGCCCAGAACTCACAAACTATTTATGATGCAAAACTGATTCAGGCCCTCAAATGAAGCCTGCCTCTATTTAAGCTCCTGAAATGATTATATTAACAGATCATTGAAATGCCACTGCTTTTTAATGAGGCACTAGGCTCCTGAAGAACAGATTTTTTAAGGCAGTAATGTGTATATGGATGTCTAGTAGAAATTTCAGACATATCCTATGGCATTTATTCCCATTGTTTCAATGAGGTTTGCATATGGAAATCAGGAACATTGAAAGAATGTAGTAGGGTCGAAAACCCTAAATGGTTTTAGGAATAATACTATTCTGTTTATAAAAGGTTATGTTCAGAAACGTGGACTGAAAATGCAGCAAGACCTGTTTTGTCTGTAATTCTTATGATGGTAAGGTGTACACAGATCTACAACAATAAGTGTGCTATCACTTTATTATCGTTATTATTGGTAACTGTGGCCTTGCACTACCTTTGTGTAGTAATATTAACCAGTGAATACTGGGGTTTAAAAACAGACCTGATTTCCAGTTGCAGTTCTTGTTTTGCAGTCACATAGAGACATTGCTCGTCATGCCTCTCTTCATTGCCATGGTTTCGGACTGTAAGCCTGACAGTTACTGCTGACTTTGGAGGAGGAAGGCAGGAAGGTGGGATTTGCACCTTGGTTTGGTTGGTTAGGATTATCTGTTTCTGCACACATTCATTCCACTCAGGCCAGCAAGCTCCTGCACAAACATTTCATTTATAATTAGAATAGTCATAGCATCCCATGTGTCTTATAAAGGACTTTCCTGCCATAGGTTTCAAAGAGCTTTATAGAGCAAACAAGTTTCCTAAACCCAATTTAAAGAGTGGGTAATCGGAGTTGAGAGTACAGACTGACTTCTTCAAAGTAATGTATGAGGTCAGGGATAAACATGGGGACAGAACACAGATGTCCTGAATCTCAGTCCAGTTTTCAGCCATAAATGTTTTTGCATCATGTTTGATGCTAATTAGTGCTGGTTTATTGAGACACATATACCTTGCAAATGCCTAACTATGTAAGTCACTTGGGATTAATTCTTGGCTCTGAGGGAGAGGGCTTGGGACAGGCAGATCTTTTTGAATTTTAAAAATTCAAACCTAGGAAAAGACAAAAGTGAGTACTATGCCATATTATATATCATAATTAGTTCAAAGGTAGAAGGACATTCTTCATGTACAGTGAGTGTCAAACTTTAAAGCCAGAGAGTAAGCCATCCTTTAGTCAGATTTTCACCACTTGATCTGACGTGGCAGTGAGTTTGTTACTCATTAAATAGAAGTTGGTGGAAAAGTTCGGGAAATGCACATACCACAGGACCAGAGAAAACTGGAATTATTGTTGTTGTCTGGCCAGCCAAGTGTAACAGTTGTGAAAGGATCCACATGGCGACTCGGTGTAATACATATTTTGATTTTTCTTTTGTGATCCTAAATAATAAGTAAATGTGCCAGTTAGGACAGGAGCATGTATAAACACACACATATCTTTCTTCTTTATAATGAAAAAGGTCTGAAAGTTTAGACCCCAAATTACTGTATGCAGATCTGTAGTTTAAATGATCTTTCCCTGATCTGTGGTAGTATGGAAGTAGGAAGCTGTGGGAATAGAAGCAGATGGCGCAGAGAAATTGTGTGGCAAAATACCTCCAAACTCATAAGTGGCTTAGGAGCGCAGCTCCCATTTTCAAAACTAATGCAGGTACTTAGGGAACTAATTCCCATTAATTTTCCACTTGTGGACCAAGACATTTAACGCTTAGACAATCATTTGTCTTCTACTACATCTTCTGGTACCTTCCTTTTCTATCTGAACTGGCTACGTTACAGCTATACATAAAGACAAAAAGAAGATAGCTGAATTTGTCTTTCTATGCAACAAACTGTGATAAAGTATTAGTTTTGAATTAGATTTGTATTCCTCTGATGCAATATATTCTTAAAGCCAATCTGTAAAGCATGATGCCTTCTTGTGAGGCAGAACATCCCCTATAGCAGATATCTGTCTGCTAGTGATAGAGCTAAAAACTAGACTTTTAAGATGATAATAAAATATTATATCTGGCAATTTTATTACTTAAATTTGTGCAGCTGCTAGCAATTCATGTATCCTTAGTTTCTCAGTTTGCCATAAACTGGAAATTTCTTCTTTGCAAACTAATTTAAACGTTCCAACACAGAAGCAGGAGACGCTTAGAAACAATATAAAAATATATTAAACTCTGCTTGAAGGTTATCCCCTCAAAGAGAGGTTTCCATTAGTCGAGTAGATAATTTAAAAATTCATGTAAGCTCATTTCAACTTCCAAAACGGAATCATTGTGAAAAGCTCATTTTCTGTAATCTTGTAATTGTTACTTGCAGGCTTTTACGAATTGTAGGTTGAATGCCTGTAAACACATTTGTCTCAGAGACTTTGGTGTAGATTTTATGTTAAACCATATGGGGCCCAGAAAACCTAGTCCATAAACTAGTATGCTACAAATACTTCTTTTCAATATCTTATGCAGCACTTTTACTGATAGGAAAAAAATTATAAGCATTTCAATTTTAAAGCAACATCCTTAAATAATACTTACGTTTGTCTTTTGCATATTTGTTTTGGAGCTGCCTTCTTCCTTAGCAGAATCTGTTTAACACAAAAAAGAGCAGAATATTTTGGTGCTACCCGTAAAGCTTCCAGATGTCCTCAGTGTATACGACTAAAATACACAGGCTTTGACTACCAACTGAAAGATAGGGCCACAAGAATCAGACTTCAGAACTGTGATAAGCAGTCTAGTGACAATAGGTAAAATTGTAACAACAAGCTAGTCACATGCTGTAAAGATGATGATCCTGATTCTTCAAACATAATGATGTAACTCCAAATACATTCACAGAAAATAATGGAGTTTCACTGATGTGCAAAGAAAGATTGAGAGAAAGCACTGGAGAAGTCTCGATAGGATTGGTACTAAAGTCACTTTATTCCTGATATAATCCTCTTTTGTAAATGCAAGGATGAGCCATCTAGAAGCATTTACTGACAGCAGTTTATGAGACTTCTGTGATGCAAGTATTTTCTTGTTTCAGAGCTGTGTCCCAAACCATAAACTTCACTAATTATTTCTAGAACAATTAGAAAATGTGCAATGTGTAACATATACAGAGTGATGCTAATTTATGACTACTTCAAAGCCAGGGAAACTGCCTTCATCAGGAAGAAGCCTCCATAAAAGTTTTCAGCACTTTTGCTGGAAGGAAAGCAATTACTAGATGCGAACCATAAACGCTCCATGAAATGCTCTGGTTGCAAAAAGACACTTATGTGGTCAAAATGAGCACTGTCAGATTAAGGCAATTACCTTTTCTGTGAGAACTGTTTGCCAACACAGTGATGAACCCAAGATCCAGACTCAAGTTTGAGAAGGCGTTCGTGGCCACCACTTTCACTAGGAAAGTGCCTAGAGAAGACAAATGGCCAGTTAAGAAGAGCAGTGGGACCAGTCCATCATGTTGGGGTTATAAAATCCAATTTGTAAAGAAAATCTTATTCTTTTCTGGTAAGAACTTTGGGGTTTTTCTGATGAGTTTCCACTGCTGAAAGGCTTTTTAATTAATGTTCTTCTCCTTTATCTCAGCTTTTTAAAAACTCAGCTGCCTTTGTCCTAGCACTTGCAATGCTATTCTTTGTCAGCTGGCTTTGATATTACCACACAGAGGACTAGAGGTGTTGCTAATACTGGAGTCCAAATGAGTTTAGGCATCTTGAGAGAGCAGCTGTCTTGTTTGAAAATTTCTGCCTGAAGGGAAGAGGTGTTCAAATGGGTGTAGGGAGACGAAATAAAACTTTTAATATTGAATAATCTTAAAACATAAAATGAAATCATAATTAGCTTCTCGTGTTCCAGCTTTGGCATGGGATTTGAATAGTTCGTTAGAGGAGGAAACTTTTTTATCTTCTGCCACTGAATTAACTCGTAAGGACAATCTCTCTAATCCCACATTTTAAAGACTTCGATTTCTTAATAATGGAAAGAAAAAACTGCTACAAAGCTTATTCGTAAGTAAGCCCAACAAAAACTATGTGTTGGAGGCCGACACACAGAAAAGCTCCCCTTTGCTTTGTCATCTCTACTGAGAACTCCTCAGATTATTAATTACTGCAGTGCAAAATGCAGAGGAGTGTAAGCTTGAAAAGTTATGCACATGAACAAACAGGAGGGAAACACTTTGTGATTCAGGAAAATGTCATCATTTGTACTTGAATCAGATCATGTATTAAAAAATAAACCCTGGTTCATTGTGTCTTTTTTATTGCAAAAATCAAGTGAAGCCTTACTTTTGGTCTCCGTATGGAGATCCATTTGCCAGTTCAATTTTTTTAGCTCACTTGCGAGGCAATAAGACCACGCTGTTTGTACTGCTCTGCAGACCAAGCTTGAGCAGCTAGAAAAGCTACCAAATTTGGCTGTACGTTATTGTCCCCTACCCCAGGGTGCTGTGACTGTTTATGTCAACTCCTCTACTCAGCTGTGAGTGTTCCAGAAATGCAGACATCAGCATGCTGTACCTTCAGAGTGCACAGGAACGATGTACGTTCGAGGTTCCCCAGGAGGGCCGTCTTCTTTGTGCGAGTGAGTTTCATTAGGTCCAATCACCTCAAACTTCAGCTTATCTGGGGCACCATGAGACACAGAGACATTTATCTCCAAATTCTCCCCCTGCTGCAGAGTGTGAGAAGCTAATGCGGCCTGAAGACCAGATACTGGCTCAATTAAGTGAACAGCAATACTCTCAGAGATCTCTGATGCGGTTGTGCTGCTGGATGCTCGGATTTCCAGCTGATGTGTCCCAGGGCCTAGCAGCTCTTGAGAGGCACTGTCGAGTGTCAGATTGTGAGGGACAATTCCTTCCTTTACACTGGATTCAGTGAGTGTCGTGTTATCTGCTAATATAATGTAGGTCACTCCGTTGCCTGCGAAAAGACAATTTGAAATTTCTCATAGCTTGTGCAATTGGTCATCCCATTCTAGCTGCTTTGTGCAGTGTTCGGGTATTTTTAAAGGAGTCTTAAGAGCACTGCAGCAATGCAGGCTTTTGAGCCCTTCTGTGCTCCCTGTGGAAGTTTTATCACATATGTTTTCTACTGGGAGTGTTAGGGCAGTCAAGAGAATTCAAACATACACTTCCAAATTTTATTTTTTAAGCATACATGTGGATTCCAGGAACTTGCAAGTGAGAAAGAAATATACATCAGCAAGGCAAGCATGACCAGCTCAGCATGGAATCCTCTTGCTTTCAATCAGAGAAGAGTTTCTGTGGATTCTTAACTTCAGATGTGGAAATATTTCTACTGGCTTCATGTGGATTCATGTTACTAAAGTTATGCTCGTGATTTGTCAGCTTTGTGTAGAGGGAAAAAGGGTTTATACTTATGTTTGAGGTGGTATAATAGCTCTGAGAAAGAACTGATGGAGCTGAGATCATTCAGTTGCAGGGATGCAACAAGTAGAGGGAAAGCATTCACTAAAAAAAAGTATTGTTTTGCATAATGAAAATCCTGCTTCTATCCCATGGGTAGCATGATATTTAGCCTGCCATTTAAATCATGCAGAGTAATTACCCTCACCTCCATTGAGTTCAACTTGAATCCACAACGACTCCCCATACAGCGTCCGGCAGTGAGAGCTGTTCCCAGGTTCGTACTGGCTATAGCACCCAGTAATGCTTAGTTGATCCATCTTATCTTGAACAGTCACCCGCTTCTGCGCCGTCACATGCCATTCGCTCGTGGTGCATTCCACAAAAACAGTAAACTCTCCAGGAGACGAGTATCGATATGTGACGTTGCTGACCAATCTAGAATAGAAAGAGAACAGCTGCTCATTGTGGAAGACTGTCCTGGGATGTCCTTAGCCTTACGTGATAACAGCGGTCACAGTTCCCAAATTGCTGACCTGACTCAGCTCTCCTGCAATCGCTGTAATCTCTTGTTTATTTACATAGAATTTTTGGGATCAAATATTGTTCCTTTGTTCCAGCTACTGTGTCATTAAGGATGTATATCAGCAGTGGTCTTTCTTCAAGTGTATCGGTAAGGGCGGATACGTTTTGCTGTGAAGTAGGTAGGTTGCAGTTCAATAACATGCAGCATTAGATCTGGCTTTGTGACTTGTTGGCTCCGAGCACAGGTATGTAACTATGCATATTAGAACATGTTAAAGTGACCTTAATTATTCTTTATTTTATTCCCAATTTACCATCTCTTAGATATATTGGTGGAAGCTGAGGCTGCTCAGCGTTTTGTCAGAGCACTCCCTTGCTCTTTTTTTTTTGTGTGTGTGTGCAGCTTCTTCCTTCTATACTTGCCCACGCTAGCAAAAATGTCTCTTCACTCCTGGGTCTGGTGCAGCTCTGGTCATGATAGCAACAGGAGATGAATGGATACGAAGAAGTCTGTGGTAGTTTCTGTTATTACTAACAAGCATAGGGAGATGATGAAGAGAGGCTAAGGATATCCTTCTTGAATGGAAGGATATACCATGGAAGGCAAGTAATATTCATTAAACTATTCTCTCTCAATTATTTATATTCTTATCATAGCAGCACCTAGCAAATGCAAACAAAGATCAGGATATATCATCCTTGATAATGCGTATTTTTCATTAGTTGTTTTAATGAGAAAAAGGTTTAATTCTAACTGGACTTTAAAAATATGCCAATGACAAGATCTGAACAAAAAAGGCAATTCATGTAAGAGTGGGTATCAGACTGGGCACAGCAAACAGATGAGTATGACTCGAGCCATTTAGTAAGTGATGTAAAAGGGCTTCCCATAAAAACATCAAGCCTCTGCTTACAGCTAGCCAATACGTTTTACTTAAAGGTTCACTATCAAAGATTTTTTTTCAAGTTCTTTGCAGCTACAGGCCTGTGTCTATAGCACTGAAAGAACGTTTACTGTTTCTAATACGTTACTACTTTTTGGTTTTCATTCTTCTACTCTTATTTTTCTAGTTGACTCAAGTAGAATTCCATTAGTAGACAAATACATTTCTAGAGACATTCTCTGTCATTCCTAGAACTACAACAAAATCTGATTTTTAAATGCAGCAGAAAAATATTTGATCTTTTAAAGACCCAATTTTTATGCAATTAAAACACAAGAAAAAGTCCAGAATGCCATTGCATTATTTTAAATGTTATAAAAAACCCCAACTCTTTATACTTAAGAAAATAATGCCTATTTCTTTGGCAATTACTGACATGTTTTCAGTAATTTTGTGTCTTAGGATCTGGAATAAATTCTCTTAGTAAGAAATAGGAATCACTTGTCATAATAAGCAGAAGAAATATTGTGGTTGGTGGCTTGACTCGAAATTTTGTGTTAATTTCAAAACAAGTTTCTGCAGAATCCAAATGTCTTGAATGTATGGTCGATTATTAAATAATCTATGTGATTTTTAACATCTCATTTAAGAGACGATGCATTCAATAATATGCAAGCAGTGAAATTTACTGGTTGTCTGATGATACATGAAGGATTCCTCTTACGTTAGAGGGTAGTAAGGATCAATAGTGTGGCCATCTCCAGTGCTAATGATACAGGAAAGGTTGCCAGAGTATGGAGAGAGCAGCCAGTTCAAACTGATCGTGAAATTTTCAAAGACAAAGCACATATCTGTTACAACCAGCTGCAGACCTGTAAAACATAATGACAGAATTCAATGTCATTGTTTGTCTACATTTCTTACATAATTCAATTAATTTTCATTTATTGACAGCAGGCCTTCTTCAAAACGGAGTTGATACTGCTGCTAATTTGAGTGCATTGGTGGCGTGACAGGTAGCTGATTTTTTCCATACCTACCAGTCAAGATGCTTGTTGGAACATAATTTCATTTAAGTGTGTTTTATGTGTCTGAATTTCCTGGCTTCGTATCCCATCAACAGCCCTCAGTTAGGACAGGGAAGCTACATTTTTGTGCCTATTTTTAGTGATCACTGCTCTTCCGTGTTCTTCCCTGAGGATGGAGCAGCAATTTTTAAGATAAATATCAATGGTCACAGTGTTACAGCAAAGAGCAGAACAGGCTTTTGGTGTTGACAGCCTCACCCACTTACCTTCCTTGCAGTGGTACTGAATAGACAAATAGCTTCCAGAAGCTGGACAAGGATCTCCAAAGAAAGTGCCATCCGCTGCCACCTGGCAGGCCTGAAGACCGTGGCACTGGCCTGGAAAGAAGGACCATTTTATATGAAGTGGTGGGTTTTGTCTTTGACTGTCATAACAGCTTAGACGAGAGATGATTATGTAAGTCACGTACTGTAACGCCAGTATTACGTGCCACTGATTTCTAGACAAACTCCCACATCACTTTGACTTTACTGTGTTGCTCATTGCCTGGTATTTCTTAGCACCATTCGACTTTATTGGAATAAAGCTGAATTAGAAAGGGCAAAAAAAAGGAGAAGTTATGTGTTTTGTGTAATTTTGCCCCAAAGAATCACCATAGGGACAGGCCATAGTCACTGTTTAATCTGTCAAGCAGCGGAGCTCTGTAGCCCCAGCAGGCTGTGTACTCGACACACGGCAGGCAGCAGCACATCCCTCCTGCCCTCCTGTCCTCATAAGTGCCAGCCTTTCCCTGCCTCCTGGTTTGGAGTTAGATTTCTATGGATGTGTTCTCTACCATCTCTGTCAAACCTAGAGTCTCTCATTGCGTTCATCAAGGAACTGGTGTGCCCACATATTTTCTTCACACGGAAAGGAACCCTTGTTTTCCATTTGCTCCCCCTCTGCTTCTCCGAATCTTTGCTCACAAAATCCCTCCTTTCCATCCAGCCTCCTGTGGGAACCTCCTCCATGGCAGAAGTTCTCTGTGATTCCCTTCATTTTAGGAATAATCCACTTTCCCATTCACTAACTCTACTGAAATACGAGATGAAATATTTTAGCGACCAGAAACTTTGGCACGTACTCTATGCTTCTGACAAGCAATGCGAAAAGGTACTACCTTCTACTTCATCTTTGACACTGATCCAGCTACAGTCTTCATCTGTACCGTACTGGAGAGGAGTCTCTGATACACAGTAGTGAGGGGTCTTCCGTCCGTAGAAGCTCTCTCCAATTTGAATAACTTCTCCTGATCCACACTGCACAGTGGCATTGTAATTATCACAAGCAATACTCTGGCCAGATTCTAATAGGAGAAAAAATATCAGATTTAACTTTTTGAATTTCTGAAAAATCCTGCTACAGTTCTCCTGCATATCCTTCTTGTTTGTTTGTTTGTTTCTCTTTCTTCCTTTTTCTCCCTTCTAAGCCAAGCAATTAAGAAAATGAGAAAAAGAACAAAGAATATTTTTTCCATTTTTAAAATCGAAAATAGTAGATTTATGTGGTTTACTCCCTTAAACAAAAATTTGAGAATATTTTTAATGAAAAAAAATAAAACAACACATTTTCCTGGGAAACACTTAGCGTTTGTTTGAGCTGCAGTACTGGAAGGTTTAAAGTTACGCCTTACTTCCGAAAGAGCCTTGTGGCAGCGTGTGATTTGCATGATATTCAGGTAGTTGCTCTGGAGAATAGTTTGCATATTAAGTATGGGACCTGATCTCATTTTTGCTACAGAAACACCTTTG